GGGGCTGCTGTCACCATCTGCAGTGATCATGGAGCCCAAGAAAGTGAAATCTGTCACTGCCTCCATATCTTCCCCTTCTATTTGCTAGGAGGTGATGGGACCAGTGGCCATGATCTTAGTTTTTTTGATGTTGAGTTTCAGACCATTTTTGGCACTCTCCTCTTTCACCCTCATTACAAGGTTCTTTAATTCCTCCTCACTTTCTGCCATCAGAGTGGTATCATCTGCATATCTAAGGTTGTTGATATTTCTTCCAGCAGTCTTAATTCCAGTTTGGGATTCATCCAGTCCCACCTTTCGCATGATGTATTCTGCATATAAGTTAAATAAGCCAGGGGACAATATACAGCCTTGTCGTACTCCTTTCCCAATTTTGAACCAATCAGTTGTTCCATATCCAGCTCTAACTGTTGTTTCCTGTCCCACGTATAGGTTTCTCAGGAGACAGATAAGGTGGTGAGGCACTCCCATTTCTTTAAGGACTTGCCATTGTTTGCTGTGGTCCATACAGTCAAAGACCCTTGCGTAATCATTGAAGCAGAAGTAGATATTTTTCTGGAACTCTCTGGCTTTCTCCATAATTCAGCGCATGTTAGCAGTTTGGTCTCTAGTTCCTCTGCCCCTTCGAAATCCAGCTTGTACTTCTGGGAGTTCTCGGTCCACATACTGCTGAAGTCTTCCTTGTAGGATTTTGAGCATAACCTTGCTAGCCTGTGAAATGAGTGCAATGACTGCAAAGTACTTGTTAATTTTGCTTTATAAAAGATAGGAAGATATGGCCTGGGAAACCAGTGGGTGTCCCATCTAAGCTGCTTTAAACTCTGTCAGAGACAACTATTAGATGAGGGTAATGAATAAACCATCACAGAAACTTTTTCTGTTAGTCTTCAGGCACTATCGATCGAGAGCCTCTCAAGTGCAAAGACGGTTCTTCCAGCAATTTGCTATTTTTCATCATTTTTTTAGCTCTAAGAAGAAAAACATTAGATGTGTCAAACATCTGTTCCAATATTCATCATTAGATGAAGGGTGCTCAGTTCAGGGCAGAGGCATGTTCTTTGATAACATTGACAGAATGTCTTAATATCTGCTCATCCTCTTAGGTTGGTGGCATTTGACAAAGCTAGTAAATAAAAAGTAACTAAGGTTCTGCAGCAGCCCCCAAATATTGACTTTTATAGCCCCTTTCCCCACCTGAGAATGGGCCTGAAAAGCATCAGGCAAAGATAAATGGCATCTTAGAGTGCTTCTGTAGGATGGCTTTTGGCCATAATTTATTTGTCTGGTAAATGCCAACTTGTATCTATGTTGGTACAACAAATGCATCTTTTGTGAAACATCCTGTGCTTCAAGTTAATATCACCCCAGTTCTCGAATTGTGCTTATTCTGCACAAGATGGACAGCCTGATTAAGAACAACAAGAACAACAATGATGATGATGTACCATAAAGTCATTTCTGACTTATGGCAACCCTTTTCATGGTATTCCAGGTAGAGAATACTCAAAAGTGGTTTATCATTCCCTTCTTCCAGCTTGCCCAAAGCTACACAGACTGGCTCTCCTTGAAGGACGCACAGTGGGAAATAAAATTCCCAACTTCTGGCTCCGCAGCCAGATACCTAAATCCCTGAGCTATCCAGCCAGCTGGACAGCCAGCTGGGCATCAGAAAATCCCAAATAAGCTGCCTAATGAGAATATATATATTGAGAATATATATATTTCAGT